TTTATACAGTTGTTATATATTAACTCTTTATATAACCAAATTTCAGGTATTGGCTATTCCATTCTGTTGCTAAACCTGGGCACACTTACGTACTATAGCATTAATGCGGCTGTGCCATTTATCTATGCGGTCAATTCGCTGCGTGAGGTCATGCCTTGGATGAGCTGCAATAATACGTGGAATACGCCGGAGTGTTCCACACACGATCATTATAATGAGGACGTAAGTGTTGTAAAAGGATCCTGACTAAGTGAATGCTGATTGGTTGATTGATTGACCAGTTGACTAACACCATATGATTGACTAATTAAATTTGTGATCAAAGCGCAGTTTAACAATTTCACCTGCTGGCGTGGAAAATAGGTGAAAAAATGTTGCATGCAATTCTTTCTGTTTTCATCCTCTCTATGTTAAATCAAACACATTTTTAAAACTTGTGCAAATTTCTTAGTGGACTGTTTCACATTTTTCGGCTAATTCACCGATATATGTGGAAAATAGGCGTGCAAGGTTCTAAGAGCAAAATAGTTTTTAAAAAAGAAGTGAGCTACTTTTTCACCGATTAAAAAAAAATTCATGTTCGCGTTAAAAGCATAGGAAACTGTAGTAGGTAATATATTTTTCTTTTTCCGATCCGATTACATTTTCCAAGTTGCACATGAAAAACAATTGTCTACGTGCTTTGCGCTTATCGGCAAATCCAGCTCGCTCCAGCTAAGCTCGGAAAATGCCAGTAAGATGTTTTGTAAATTTTATGAAAAATACTTTGACCAATTAATATATAATTATACTTATGTACGTTTATTTACAGGCGCCGATTCAAAAGCCACATGCAACTGTGGAATTCTTTCAGTAAGTCTCACGATTTACAATATTTGTGGAATATTATAGAATAATTGTAATTCGCAGCTCTGTGATAGGTTCGATTAGACCAGAGTCCAGTGACTGGTCGCTATCCTGGCCTATGCTGCTGGCCATTGCGGGCATCTGGTGTGTGGTGCTGGCCCTGCTGCTGAGCCACGTCTCGCTGGTGGGTTGCCAACTCAAATCCTCTTGTTCCCCCAAAACTAATCTTCAATCTCAATCCACAGATTGGCAAGGCGCTGCGCTGTGCCTGTGTGCTGATGTTTGGCTTCTTTGTGGCCGTCTTTGTCTATCTGGTGATACACGAGCAGGTCAACTGGCAGGGTTTGCTTGAGTATTTGCATCCCGCAATTCCCAGCTGGCTGGGCATACAGTCGGCGCTGGGCACAGCCATACTGCAGGCGAGCATGGTGCTCGGTCCCGGCTGGGGCAGCATCATAACCCTGGGCAGCTACAATAGCTTTCGCAGCGATGCCGAACGCCTCAGCATTTGGGTGTGCCTGACCCATGTTCTCATCACAGTGATGGCCATGGTGTGCGGTCATGTGGCCAACGATCATTTTGAATGTAAGCACCTTTTTTAAGCATAAATGCATTTAAGTTTCTCACTTGAATATATCTGTTTCAGTGCATGTGGCCATGTGGCACGTGGAGAAGCAGCATACGATGCAGTTCCTATATCTAGCCTATGCCTATCTCTTTGGCAGCTTTGCAACACTGCCCAGACTTTGGTCTTTCCTCTTCTTCGCTGTCATATTCCTAGCTGAATTGAGTGCGCTGGTAAGTCCCTGTATCTGTATCTGTATCTGTATCTGTATTTGTATCTGTATTTGTATCTGTATCTGTATCTGTATCTGTATCTGTATCTGTATCTGTATCTATATCTATATCTATATCTATATCTATATCTATATCTATATCTATATCTATATCTATATCTATATCTATATCTATATCTATATCTATATCTATATCTATATCTATATCTATATCTATATCTATATCTATATCTATATCTATATCTGTATCTGTATCTGTATCTATATCTATATCTATATCTATATCTATATCTATATCTATATCTATATCTATATCTATATCTATATCTATATCTATATCTATATCTATATCTATATCTATATCTATATCTATATCTATATCTATATCTATATCTATATCTATATCTATATCTATATCTATATCTATATCTATATCTATATCTATATCTATATCTATATCTAAATCTATATCTATATCTATATCTATATCTATATCTATATCTATATCTATATCTATATCTATATCTATATCTATATCTATGTCTATATCTATATCTATATCTATATCTATATCTATATCTATATCTATATTTATATCAATATCTATATTAGTATCAATATCTATATCAATATCTATATCAATATCTATATTTATATCAATATCTATATTAGTATCAATATCTATATCTCTACATGCCAGATCATTCAAATGATGTCCGTGCTAACCGCGCTTTTCGATGAGTTCGAGCAGCTGCGCCCCAAAAAAAAGCCCATTACAATTCTCCTGGTGCTCTGCCTGATGGCCACATCCATCTATTTTTGCACCCAGGTGCGTCTTACATTTCCAGACAACTCGTTTATCTAATTTTTCTCACCTACAGCGGGGCTTCAAACAAGTTAGCGCCTTGTCCTACATGTCGCTGTTTACACAGATCATCGTCTCGGCCTTGTTGATAATGATGGCCACCTGGATCTATGGACGTGTGCGCTTCCAATGTGATCTGCAATTCATGCTGGGCAAAACGATCTCAAGTTTTAAAATATTTTGCATACGCTTTGTGGTGCCCTTTTTTATAGCACTTTCCCTGGTAAGTCATAATTATAGATATTATATTTCTTGGATCGCATTTAATTAATGTCTTTTCAGTGGGAGACTATCTATATGCTGACAGTAAATGGTGCCGGGAACTCGCTGATGTGGATCAGCCAGACTCTGATCTATTTACTTGCCCTGGGCTATATGCTCTACCGATTGTCCCAGACGAACGGCAATTGGCGCCAACGAACGAGACAATGTTTCGCGCCGCACGATTGGCATCCGGTGAACGCGGACAATCGTCGGTTCTATGAGGAAATCATGGGCACCTCCGAAATGCTTGTCATTGACAATGGCTATACCGCCTAATAACTGCATAGTGCCTACAAAAAAAATACTTACTCATTTTAATTATATTTACTTGTACTTAAGCGAAGGACCTAAAACTCAGGTCGAACTGAACTCAATTGTGTGTAGAACAGCTGAAATATTTTAAATTTACACGCATCTAAAAACAATGAGCGCAAAGTTTTTTAAATTAAATGTACTGACATTTTCCAAATCTAGTTATAGTGAACAATAAACTGGTGATATTTGTAGTTGCAAAAAAAAAAAAAAATAAATAAAAATGCAAGAGCTTTTATAAAATATGTATTAAATTTCTAAGAAATTTTATGTTAGGCTTTGATATTAAATAGATCTCAATATTTTTAAAAAGCTTCACAAATAGTGCCTGTAAGCCCAAAAATATGTTTTCGTAGTCAGGCTAATGGTTCGAACCAGAGTCCTGCTATCAGACCATTTTCTTGAGCCTACCAATTGGCCAAGACGCGAACCTAGGTTCGTCGCCTCGTTTAACACATCGATTAACACAAGTTGAACCCTGGTTTTCACAAAAAGTGGTTCAATTTAGTTTTTGGTTTAGGTTTTTCTAATAGAAATAATCTGTTTAAGCTTTGGCGCATGGTAAATAACAAATTTAAATTTCGGTTTCGTACTGGTTCGGTTAGAGTATTTAATATTTTCCATTCTAAAGCTAAAGTATTTTTAAATGATTTTCTTTGCTTTTTTGCATACTTTTTGGCATTACAAATATGTATGTTTGGCACGCATTTAAGTAATTTAAACAAATGCCAATTCGATGTGCGATAAGCAATAAATGAAGCACATGATCAGCTTTACAGGGAAGCACAAGTACACACGTACTCTGCTTACACTGCAATCATAAATGCTTAACTTTTGGGAAACACAAAAGAAAAAAAATTAAATTTTCTAACTTTCATTGTGCTTCTAAGAACTCTATAGTTTTTTATATTTTAAAAGCATATCTATGAAACTTTTTGCTATATATTCGTTCTCTTCTATATATTTGTTTACCCACAATGTTTGTCTTAATAAAATGGCATTGTTTAGGGCTAGTCTTTAATGCGATTTATGTTAATTATATACACAAATTATATAGTACATGTTAACGTATGTATTTCTAATGATTACAATGTCATGTGCTGCGGTTTCGACGATGTGTTTTCAATACAAATATCAAATTTTGTTCAACTCATTTCTCTCAATGTACGCATTACATGTCAGCAGCTGAGAACTTGGCAATCTGCTGCTGTATTTATACAAACATATATATTGAGACAGTGGCCAGCGTTGATAATGAAAAATACGTAAAAATGATCTAGTCGAGAGTGCCTGACTAAAAGATACCCTGCACGCAGCGCTCAGTTGATATTACAAACAAGATTTATGCAGTCTGTGCTTCTTGCCTTTGCCACACACTATAAAAGATACCTCTTGAATAGATTCTGTGTTTAGGGTCTACTTATAAAGTTTGTTGTAGCTAGCTTTTATAATACTCGAGATATGCTGAAAAAAAACATCTACTTAAATCGACATTAGCTATACGAGCTCTAGCCGTCGCAGATAGATAGATACATTGATAGATAGATAGATATATAGATAGATAGATATTTAATGTATTCAGCTCGTAGTGCTGATATATCGATATATACCCTATACTACCTTCTGCCGGTTGCATGCATTCGCACAAAAACAATATACCCATTTACAATAGCTGTAGGGTATCGTAAATAAAAACAAAAAGTGTCTATCCATTCCATGGATGCTACAGAGATGCTCTCGCAGGCCTCTCGTTCAGTCTGCCGGCATCGCTTCTTCTAATTAGAACGTCAATTTAAAGTAAACGGGCGCGCGTTTTCATCGCTAAAAACGAAAACGAAAATAAAAATATAAACAAAAAAAAAAAACAATAATTAAATTTCAGCTGCATTGCGACGTTGTTAATCGCGTTTTATTTATTTTGTTTTTCTTGATTTTGAATAATATATTTTCTAATTGTTTTGCTTTATAAATAACCATTTTTGCGGGATATGTGATGCAGCAGAGGCTGTGATTGAATTTATATAGCACAATATTGCCCTATATATTCTACGAATTCTGAACTCGTACTGTTGCCATGGTATATGAGACCTCATATGAGAGTGGCCGCAGGCCATTCAAACCTGACCTGAATCGCGGCAAATGGGAAAAGCCAACTGACTTCATTTACGCCTGTTTTGGTCTCGCACTCAAATTGGATTTATTTATTGTTTCATATTGGTTCTATTTTGATATGGGCTGTAAGTATGTGTGTGCACGAGGCGTAAATTTTCAATCAAATGAAAAATTCATCTTAAATTCTACCGCTGATAAGCCAATCAATCTGCTATTCAACAACAGATGAGATCAATGCATTTCATGCACAAACAGCGAGGGTTGTCTATTAAGTTAGAGATATAGAAGACATTACTTGAAATAAATAGTATGTACAAACAGTGAAAGAGAGAAAAAACACGCACGATATAAACTACGAACAGTTTGCATCGGCTTTCCTTTGTCCCAGACTATGTATAAGAAATAGGTTCTAGGTTAACTTCGGAATTTGTAGTCCGATCTTTATGAAATTTGCCCAACTTTAATATGGCATACTAAAGTGTGCATAAGCCAAGGGCCAAGGCTCTACCTTTTTAAGTTTATTTTTTTAGGAAATGGAGGGAGGTTTCCCAAAAGTAAACTAAAAATGTATGTCAGTCCAAATTTTGTGCATTTAGCTCTACTAATAGGTATCCACAGTACCTGCTAGGACTTAAAAGACGGAACCTATATGCACTTAAAACAAGCTACTTCCATTTGTAGCACAACATTTCGCTCTTATCAGAATATATCTATATATCCGATTGGGTTCCAGCAGAGTAGTCCAATAAACAGCCAATTTTATGACAATGATTCGATTCGAGGGGCGTTTTCTCACAAAGAGTTTGCGCTATTTAAAACTTATTTAATTATTAAAACAATTGTGATTGTGATTATAATATATATATTTTGTCTAAATGGAATGATAGCATATGCACGCTTATTATTCGACCTTGTGTGGTTGAAAAAAACGACAGACAAAAGAAATTTGATGCTTGATAATTTATTAAGCATTATTAAAATGTGTAAGCCATCGCGACAAAATTGTTGATAGGTCGCAAATTGGGAGGCTTTTGTAAGAGCTTGAACAAAATTACAAATTATCCCAAGCCTAAGCCTTATCCTAAGCCTATACCAAGACTTATAGCTCCACCGAAACAATTGGTTACAGATTAAAGATTGATAAAGTGTGTCTTAAAATAAATATTACACATTCCTAAACAACTGCTGACGACACTTTTATAAAGCTTACTTAAAAGTCGCAATCTCTTAGATTAGACTTCTATAAATTGTATATAAAACAACCTGATTATTTTAGTATTCGGCATGTTGCCCTACTATATCTATATGGCCATATATCTGGTGCCGATTCTGGTCATACACTCCTTTATGGGTCAATTCTCGAGCAGTGGCTTCATCTCCGCCTTTCGCGTCTCGCCCTTCTTCAAAGGTAGGTAGCATATAAATATCTGGAGTTATCTAAGCTGGCTTCCACTAGGCATGGGCTATGTGAGTCTGGCCCTCAGCCTGGCCAGTCTGCTCTACTATGGCATCTTTGCGATTGTCCCACTGATATTCATACTGCATTCCCTGCGCCCAACACTGCCATGGAGCTGCGAAGGCTTTAAGGCGGAGGAAAATGTAACAACTGTAAGTATACATTTTCTATATGTTCATATAACTCAATAAATATAGATTTATTAAATCCTGTAGATCTGTAATATGACGGACCCGCAAGTCCAAACGCTGCTGAGCAGCCAAAATGAATCGGAAGTCTTTTCTGAATTGAGTGTGGTGCACGTGCCCTCCGTGCTTTATTTCAGGTAAGTTGCACCTTAATATTACGAAATTATCACTAATTAGCGCTATTCTAACTGTATTCCTGTAGGCAGCACTATGAGACATTAAGCAGTGATTATTACATGGGAGAAGATGCTAGCTACGAGTTGTCCTGGCAAATTGTCGGCTTCTCTGGCGTCATCTGGGCAATCATTACATTCATATTCTTGAAGTTCTCGGAAACAGCCAAGGTAATTTCTTAGTTGTTATATATATTTTATATATATATAATACTTACGGCCTTTCGATGCTTCAGTTTGGCAAACTGTTGCGCTATTTGATCCTGTCAACTTTGGCCCTTTTGCTGGTGTGTCTGGTGCGCTTCCTGTTTCTACCCGGCGCCTTGGACGGCATCAGCCACTATGTGACGCCGCGCTTGGACACAATGGCCAATGGCGGGCTGTCCATGACGATTATCGTACTGCAGGCCTTTGGCTCCGGCTGGGGCAGCATTATGGCATTATCGAGCTTTAACAATTTCAAGACGAACATCATGGCCTACAGCTGGATAATTGCCTTCGGCCAGACACTTGTTTATATACTCTTTGGCTTGGTTACCTTTATGCTGGATCATTATTTTGATAGTGAGTATTTAAGTAATTTTTCATTTATTTTAAATAATTATTTATTAGCTGCTAATCTAAAAAAAATAATATTATTTTCGCTATGCCTTTATTTATGGTTCGGTTCGTGAGCCTGGTTTTTGCTTAATCATAATTATAATTTTCTCTTTCTATTTTTCTTTATTAAATCCTTTAGCCATGAGAACCAACAGCTTCGGTTCGTATGTGGAGGTGAACTGGGTATTGTATCTATCGAGTGCCAGTGCTCTGTCCACCCTGGAACTGCCCAATTTATGGACCATCATCTACTATACCATGTTGCTGATGGCCTCTATAACTGTGATGGTTGGTGATTATCGTGTGCCTTTCATTGATCTGTTGATTTCTTACATTTTTCATTCTTTTCCCAAAACAGATCACGCAACTCTTTACGGTTTTCACCAGCCTGTTCGATGAGTTCGAGCTGCTGCGACATTATAAACAGCAGGTTACAATTGGTGTGTTGTGCTTCTTGGCGCTCGCTTCGCTCGTCTTTTGCACGAATGTAAGTATAATATATATATTTATATATATACATATATATTAATATATATGTATATTTTTATATATATATATACATATAAATATTATAATATATTTATACCTTTTCCATATTTAACCCCACGTTTTTGGTTTTATCCAGTAATTTTCGCCAATTTTTTTTTTATCATTTACCATGAATTTCGATTTTTTTTTAATACTTTCTACGCTTGAATTTAAAAAAAAATAATTTAATTTTTTTTTTTTTTTTTATATATTTTATTCCCATTCCGTTTCATTCTTTCCATTTCTGCGCACTTCACTTCATTTCGTTCTCTCCCAATTCAATCTATTCTATTTCATTACAATCTATATTTTTTTTTTAATCTATTCCTTTTTTTGGATTCCATTCCAATCAATACCTTTTTTTAAATAACATTCCATTCCATTCCATTTCCAGTACATTTTATGCTATTTCATTCCATTCCACTCCAATCTATTCCTTTCAATTACAATCAATTTTATTGCTTTCATTTCATTTCTTTGCATTCCATTCCATTTCATTCTATTTCGATCCCTTCTATCCTATTTTATTCCCTTCCATTTCATTTCAATCTATTTCATTGCATATCACTTCATTTATTCCATTGCATTTCCCTCCACTTCATTCCATTCTATTCCAGTTCATTCCATTTTAATACATTCCCCTGCATTCCGCTCCTTTTTATACCGACTCTTATATATTCCCTTTTATTCTTCTCTTTAACAGCATGGAGTTATGTACTTCTCGGCGTTATCTTTGGATGCCATTATGACCCATAGCGTTATGCACTTGCTACTCCTGCTGGCGGTGCTTTGGGTCTATGGACGCGAGCGCTTCCAGCGAGATATAGAATTCATGATTGGACAGCCATTTGCCTCGTGGAAGATCTTCATATTGCGCTTTATAGCACCGCTTTTTCTCTTGTACACCTTGGTTTGTAGTATATGATTCATATTCCACTCGTGATCAGATTAAAAATATTTTTCTTTGCTTTCAGCTCATTGGGGTATTCATTTCATCGATGGAGCATGCGTTCAGCTCATCCGTTATGTTACACATAAGTCTGATTCTGGTGCTGGTGCCCATGCTCTTTATACCGGGCTATGGTGTGTATATAATGTGCCAGAATACGGGCGGATTTTGTGATAGGTTTAGGCGCGCCTGTCGACCCAACGATTGGTATCCCACAGAAATGGAGGATCGGCAGCAATATGAGGAGGTTGTCGGCAATGCTGATATCACACATCAGCTCTATGAGGTCACCGAGGAGGTGAACTAACGTTGATTTGCATTTGCATTTGTTAAAGGTTTGCCGTGCGATATACCGTGTATACATATAATAAAAAAATATATTTTGTCAAATGTTTTAAAATAATCAATTGAATTTGAACAGAAATCCATCCTAGTAGCTTATGAATTGGTATGGTTATTTTTTAACCACCATATCCGGCTCGACTTCCGTTTCGGACATAAATGCTGGAAGTTTCCGTTGTCTTCTGAAGGCTTCGTATTCGGCACGATCGTCTGGATTGGCTGGGGTCCAATCGTAGGGCCTTACTCGCTTTCTCATGCTATCGCACAATGTATCCCGCTTTTTGATCATAATGTAGAGCACATAGAGCGGTATCCACATAACCGAGGACAGAAAACTTAACCAGCCCAGGATAATCGCCCAATTGGGATATTCAATCCCGTTGTATGTAATTTGTCTCATAAATATGACGCTTGTTAGCAGGACAAACTATATTGAAAGGTATATTAGGAGATCAGAACTAGTTGAATTGTACGATAAATATGGTCTTACGATCAGTACGATTGGAGTTATATATTTCCAGCATATCTTCCAAAAGAGGCTGGGCCGCTTACCCAACATGAACTCAATATCTGTTATGAAATTGTCAATGCCATAGATGTACGCCACCATAACGATCTCCACCAGGCAAATAACGATAATCGATATGGCCGACGAGTACCAGTCGAACAATTGCAATATATACATGCCAGCCTGCAATATCAGTTAGGGTATTAATCGATTCCATGCATTATCCGATCACACATATGCTTACGTTGGTGCACATTACGGTCGAAAGCGAGAAGAATATTATGCATAACATTAAGCTAACCCACACTTTATAGTTGCGCAAGGCATCAATCTCATCCAACATCGATGAGGTAATGGACTCCAGTTGAACAAACTAAAGAAGAGTATCAGGAAAAATAGGAGAGAAGAGTTTGCTTCGGCATGCCCGAAACTTTAATACCCTTGCAAGTAAGAATTAATTCAATATCTAATCGATTTTTAAGCGGAACTTTATGATATAAATAGCCGATGTTGACCAGATTTTGGTCGTGTAATGAATAATTTATTGAACAAAAAAGCTTTTTATGTAAGAAATGTATTTGAAGCTATTTTCTACTTTCATTTGATAAAATATTGCATTTTGTTAAGTTAGAGATATCTGTATAAACAAAATAATTGGAAAGGTAAAAAGAAAATGTTTCAAAATATGAAATGAAATGAAAATGAAAGAGAAGAACGCTCTCTCTAACCGATTGGTAACAGGGAACATTATTCCGTTGAAAGACGGATTATTCGACACGCCGAAGATTAAATACCCTTGTATACATTTGACATACGGGCATGCAGATATGTGCGGATACTTGTTAAGCTCTTAATTGCTAAGTTTGGTGAAGATATTTTGAAAAAAAAAAACAGAAAATTATTTCAAACAAAAACTCGTTTGCCGATACTGACCAAGTTCGACCTGACAAAATGATCACAGCTCCTTTTGCAAGGGTATAAAAAATACTTAAGCATATATGATATAAATGTGGCATACCCACCACACTATTAATACCCAAGATGAACAGCATGATAAAGAACATGAAGGCCCAGAGCTGTGGCACGGGCAACATGGCAATCGCCTCCGGATAGGTAACAAACGCCAGTCCAGCGCCCGAGGTGGCGACTGTGGCCACGGGTATGCCCGATCGGACTGGAAGTAGCCCAAGCTGAGTTACCGATAAATGTGTGTGTGTGCTGTGGTGTCGTCTACTCACACGATAGAAAGCCCAATACGGAGAAGACCACAATGCCGGCATAGATGCTTGTAAACACGTTGATCGAAACAACCAAAATGGAATCGAATTTGGCTTTGTTGCGAAAATTATTAAAACTGGCCATGTTGACAATGCCGCCCCAGCCGGGACCGAGACCGAAAAACATCTGTATGGCCGCATCGGCCCAGACTTTCAGATCGAGCAGACGATGCCATTCCGGATAAAATAAAAATTTGATGCCAGTTATAGCGCCGGGCAATGTAACTCCACGAACAAATAGTATGGTTAGCAATACGTACGGAAACGGGGCCGTAAAGTAGGATACCTTCCCCACCTGCTCAGATATGTTATGTGTGTGTGTGTATATTAAATGTTATCGATAACATATCGAACTCTTACCGATTTAATGCCCTTCAACACACACAGAAAAATGATAACCCATGTGATAAATAAGCTGAGAAACTGCTCCCACACCATGCCACCGAGATGGGCTATGCTATCCGAAATGCGCAACACTTCCAGGCTGAAACGATAAAATGCTTGCTCAATAAATATATCGATAACTTATCGATGAACACAGCTCAACCTACTGAAAGAACTCATCTGCCGATGTCGCGGCGCGACCTTCAACATATTGCAACTATATTGAAAACCAAAGTGAAGAATTTAGGAGCTTATATTTAGTTCTTTTGGGGGGGATGGACTCACTGACCTTCTCAACGGTGGTGCAATTGGGTGAGTTCCATGGATGCTTGCAGTCTATCCATGGCACAGTCTTCCAGAAACAATAATACATCATGCGCACCGGATATGATATGATAACCGAATAGTAGCATACACAATACATATTCACAATAACCATGCAAATGCCGGTGCCCTTCAGTAAGGGCACCAATCGAAACATTCCCGTGCAGCCAGTGCCCGAGAATTGGCCAATCATCACCTCCATATAGAACAACGGAATGCCGCATAGAATAACCATTAGCATGTACGGTACCAAGAATGCACCTAGAAGAAAAGTTAGGTGAAAAATTTACGTGTACGAGTCGGGTTCGAACCAGCAACATTTAAATCAACTATCTGGATTGGAATATTATTGTGACAAATTAGAAATACCAAGAATGCACCTAGAGTAAACAAAAGTTATGTATGTGAAAAATGCATTTGTTCGAGTCGGGTTTGAACCAGCAACCATTAATATTATTGTGAAAAATCCAAAATTAATAAATAAATAACTTAAAATCACATAAATATTACTTTCTTCAAGCCGGGTTCGAACCCGACAATCGGAGCGGACAATTGAAAGTTCTAAATTTGCATTGCAAGCGCAAGCGCTGTGAAGGCCAAGGAATTATTATGCAACCAGAGTCGATAATAAAGGATTTGGGATAAAAGCAAATATGAGCAAAAAATATTAGATCCTTCGAGCCGGATTTGAACCAGCGACCTATGGATTTCAACATATCGCGATTCAATAAACTGATGGTACAAGAGCAAGCGCTGTCTAGGCCGCGGTATTGTTTGGTCTAGAGTCCTGCCACTGCTCGCAACACCAAGCTTCGAGAAAACTCTACAGTCCATCGCTCTACCAACTGAGCTATCGAAGGCACTCGCTGCCCGCCAACAAAGCGCCAGCAAAAGCCACAACACGCAGCGCACACCCAGCTTTCACTCAAAAAAGCTACAGCCAATTGCCGATGCTTTAAATAGACACTGCACTCACTGTGCACACCAACACACACACACACACACGCACAAATACACACATATACTTGCTGTGTGACGTCAGGGCATGCGCTATTTTTGGAATAGCCCGGCCACGAGCCCAGTTGAGTGAATTGAGCACAAAAACTCATTAAAATGCTCACTCATCTTCAATTACTGGAACAAGAAGAGTGCAGTAGTCGGCAATGCCCGACTGGGTGCTACCCTGCATAACTACTGCAATCGCCGCTAGCACTTCATAAGCTTCTTCTTTGCCCAGTTGCACATTTTGGATATTTTGAAATAATTTCTTGGATAACATTTTTTTATAGTTCGAATGCTACGAAATTTTCATATTATATATATTTATATATTCATTTAAAAATAATCTTCACATGTGCCTATATACCAAATATCTTTGTTCTAAGTGTTATTATTGTATCGCTTCGTTTCTTGTTATATTTTTGAGAGATTTGGGTGAGGTATTGAAAATGTTTCCGAATTGTTTTAGCTGTACGAGAATTTACACATCAAATATTTTTAAATATCCATCTTTCATAATGCCCAAGATATGCTGAAAACGGAGCTATCTAAGACTTGTGGAGAAAATACTTATCGATTTATCGAAAATATAAATTAAACATTTTCTAAGTATAACAATTGTATATATAGCTTATATAGCGCATGCTGCTCTTGGTCTGATTGCAATATACCCAGTCCTTTAATGGATACAGAGTATAGGTCGCATTTTGTGGTACGTGGAATGGAAGCGCCAGGGAGAGGGGGGGGGGTACTTACCGCCGCCGCTGCGGTAGCAGAGGTAGGGAAAACGCCAGACATTGCCAATGCCGATGGCATAGCCAATGAGCGTGAGTATAAATTCAGTTTTGGATGACCATTGGCCTCGATTTGCATCGCGATTGATCCTTTTCTCCTTACGTTGTCGCGGTGGTAAACTCTTTTCCTTCGATTGCATTCCAGGTGTACAATTTTAATTGAGGTTCGTAAATTTAAGCATGTTTTTGATTGATAACAATATAAAATTAAAAGCAAATAACATATAAATTAAACTGAGACTTTTAAAAATTTCAATATTTCATAGTGAATTCTATTGTAAGGCCTGCTAAGTCGGAATTTCTTGGCGGTATTTAAGCAATTTGCATAGCTGCGAGGCCTCCAATGTTTGGGTTATACGAATATGATTAAGGGATCTCAAACAATTAATTTAGGGGTTGGTTAGAAGTCCTTAATACTATTTTCTGCTAGAATTTAGTTTCCTCAATAGCCTTCAGCATTGACTCTCCCAGCAGCTGTTTTTCCAAAATCGATAATTGTTGATTTCGAGTCCCGGTTTTAACTGCATATCTCGCAGATTTTGTGCGCTAAAAATAACTAGTTAGGCTTGTACTAAGTTATTTTAGTTTGATTATATGTGTAACTGGTTAAATAATTTTCGATTTCATTCAATTTTCTTAAAATCGATAAATATCGATTTCTAACTTTCGCATTTATAAGAGCATTTTAGGCCATGCTTGGCATATGGCATGGATGGATAAACAACCTCCACATATGATATATTACGATGAAGTTTCGCATTTATAGGAAACTTTGATAGGAAGCTCTTGTTATAAATCTTCTGGATTTCAACCTCTGTGAATAATATAATTTGGAGCTTAAGATTTAATATTTCTGCGGGCGCTAAATGCGTTGTAAGCTTGAGCTGGGCAAGGCCGGGCAATGTCAGCTTGTTATGAAATATAGTTTATCAAGTCAACTTGGACTCCAATTGTTGCAACATTTTATAAATGAAAACACACGCAATTTAGTTTTTAGTAAATGTTAACTGTTTTTTCTTTATTGGCAACGTGTAGCATCGTTAAAATTAATTGGTTTTAGTTGACATTTCTTCTAGGGCTAGCTTATTAATTAGATGAGTGTTTTTTTGTTAAAGCTTCCGTTTATCGCGTTGCTGGCTCCAGCTAGATGGGAGCACGTCTTCTACCCCACCTCTCCTGCTCTAGCATCGCAGCTGCAGGACAACTGCCAGGGCCAGCAGGAGCATAGCTATTGGCCTGCCGCTGCCAGCTGAACCGTGACCTGCTGTGGCCGTGTCATCGTCGGGTCGACGGGATTCCCGTTTCTCGGCCTTCTCGCAGATGTCGCCGCAATTCGCATGCTCACAAATGTCGCAGATGTTGGACTTGGGCGCCCGATAGAACTGACGAGCGCGACGAGCTGAACGGAAGATGGATTAGATGTGGGGCAGAACATAACAAATTCCAGACCTACCGCTATCGTAGTAGTCATACATGACCACGGGCACGGGTCGATGCTTGGTGACCTTCACCGTTTTGTAGGCATGCAGCGTGGGGCAGACCTCACGTCTGTCCAGATAGTCGAAGTAGATGATGACCTTGGTGTTGCGCTGTTGGGTCTCGACCTTTTTGATGCGCTCGCTGGACTCCAGCGTCGGCAGTGTATCGGTGTCCACGACAAAGCCACTCGGCAGCTGCACCTCCATGACGGCCATGTTGGATCTCTCGGCATCGCCGGGCACGGACACAAAACTGGCGCAGGCGGACAGATGCAGATAGTCCGCATGGGAATTTCGATTGACGGTGGGATCCAGCACAAATCTCGGCCAGGCGCTGGTCACGTTCGTATTGTATTTGTAGCTCACCTGAGCCAGGGCCAAGCCGCGTCCCGTCGCCGACACGCTTACGTTCTTGATATTGCTGGGCAGCTGTTGGGAAATTTGAATGGAATTATTGGCATGGAAGTCTGGCAGTCTTGGACCTGGCTTACCTCCACACTCTGCAGCGCCAGCGAGTTCTCCGCATTGACATTCAGTATGGTCTCGGCGCCCTCGCCATAATGGAAGCCCAACTGCACATTGTTGCCCTGACTGGAGAAGCGTTCGGCGAACAGGAGCAACGCCTGCAGACCCACCACCGTGTCCTGTGAGCCGACAAAACCACCAAACGCATTACGCTGATCCATCAGCCAGTTGAGCACGGGCAGCGCATCGCCCACCAGATTATTTTCGAGCAATGCCAGCGCTCCATACGCCGAGATCTCGATGTTGACGCTCCGTGTGGTATTGTACCAGGGCGATTGCTGTTCCGTTGTTGGCGCCGTCTTGTTCCACCATTTGCGTCCATTCGCGTTCATGGCCAGCGAGTCGAGACGCTGCAGGAATGCGGCCTTGGCATTGTGATTGGCCCGCGACAGCACATAGGTGCCCAGCGCCATGGCATGCAGATTGCCGGAGGTGTCCAGGCCTCGGGCGATAAAGTCCAGCGCCTTGTTGATGTTGTTGCGGTACTCGGCATGCAAATCCTTAAGGGCATTCGATATAGAGATAGCGAAAGAATTTCATCTTCCACTTACCACATTCTCCATCATGGCCAGCGTCACAAAGGCGGTCAGGCTAATGCCCCCGTCGTCGAACTGCTCAAAGATATCGCCGTGCTCCTCGTAGCCGCCATTGCTGGACTGCACGCTGGCCAGATAGGCCAAGGCGCTCTGGAGCACATGATCATCCACTTGAATATAGGGCGTCGCCTGGCGCAATGATCTGGCCACATAGGCTGTCAGCCACGTTGAGCTCTGCTTGGCAGACAGTCCAAAGGCGCTGAAGGCTCCATTCTCGTGGCGATAGTAGAGCAGACGTTGATAGCCCACGGCCAAGTTCTTGGTGGCGCTCAGCTCCAGCTCTGGAGTCAGTTGACGCAAGCGCTGCAAGAGATTGGGTAGATACCAATAAATAAATTATTTGATTGACTAATGAAATGATAAATTAAGTGATTGACTGACGGAATGATTGATTACCTCACCGACTGATTAATTGGTTGGCTGGATGGCTAACTGATTGATTAGGTCATTAGCTAAATAACTGAATGATTGTCTAAGTAATTAACTCACTGATTGATTGACTGATGAAATAATTGAATAATTGTTCGGTGACTGACTGATTGATTAAGTGAAAGGTTGACTGGTTGAATGACCGACTGATTAACTGGTTGGCTGGTGGACTGACTGAGTAGCTAAATGACTAAGTGATTGACAGATTGGTTGGCTGATTGTGTAACTGGTTCACTGATTGATGGTCTGACTACTTACTAATTGACTAACTTATAGACTAACTGATTGATTGACTGACTGAATAATGATTGAATGACTAATTAGTTGACTTGCTGATTGACTGACCGATTGACTGGCTAAGTGGCATCCTGATTGACTGACTGCCTAACTAACGAATCGACTGAAATGATTGCTCGAGTGATTGAGTGACTGACCGATTGATTGATTGACTTATAGTCGAGTATCATGTGCATTTTGTATTGTATGTATAATATCTTTCAAACTTACGCCCAAGTAACGCAGCACCATCAGGTTCGGCACAAAGTTGACCATCGTCTGTTCGCCACAGCCCGTGGGCAGTTGGATAAGTTGGTGTAGATTGCCCACAATGCTGCCCACGAGATCACCCACAGCACTGACCTCAATGCTCGTTGAGTCGGGTATAGCATTCCGCGGCACTTTAATGGTAACATTCTGTTTGCGCTGTGCACTGGAGTTCAGTTCGAAGAGGAAACCACGATTCACACGCTCCGTGGCACCGGGATGCTCCACCAACAGCGTACGTTCCACAGTGTCGCCAGCCTGTGAGGTGGTCGCCACAGCCTTGACGGGCAGGGCGCCCACACGGCGAGGCGTCACAATGAAGGAGATGGAGCGGGCCGACTTGCCGGGCACTTGAATGGTGCGACGACTATAGAGTTCCAGTTCTGTAAAGGAACAACAAATTTAACTATTTCTCCAAGTAACATTCCAAAATCTTCTACGCACTGGGCTTATTGGCCTGCTTGGTGTCCAGCTGTGGAAAATCAAAGTCCTGCGCGGTATTGTAGAAAGTCACATCGACGCTCAGATCGCTGTCCCTGTTATTGTGCACCACAAAAGGCAGGGCAATGAGCTCATCTGAAAGGGGTAAGAGATTGAGCATGAGTCATTTTATTCCCACATTCGCATCTCACTAGCAACCTTTGCGTATGGAATAGGGCAGCTCGGTGGCAATGTAGAATTCCTTGTAGGCCTCCAGCTTGCTGTTGGGCGCATTTAGACCCAAACCATTGACAGGATCTAGAGTAAAGGCGGTCAGGAGCCAAGAGGTCATATCGCTCGGAATGCGTCGATGTATCGTATTGCGACCATCGCTGCTCGCCGAGAGGTTGAGGAAGAGCCACGTCTCCGCCGGATCGCGCATGACATGCACGCGCGGATTATGCCAATAGGGCTTGGGTGTATAGGAGAAGGCATAACGTCCCTTGCCGGGCGGCAATGTGTTCACCTCGATCTTATGCGCGGGTCCGATGTCCGTCTTGCGCACAGCCGTCAACTTGTCCTCCTCCATGGTGCTGGAGCTATCGCGACCTATGGTCGGTGTGGTCTCCGCCTCTGTTGGAATATGAATGTAAAATATAAATAGAATGGAATATAGAATATAAAATACTTTGCTTACCCTTCTCCACAAAGTAATCCGTATTGGACATGGTTATAACACCGGACTCCTTGCCGGGTGAGCCCACGGGCGTGTTGACATCGCTGAGCTCATAGGCATAAAGGGCATCCATCAGACGTTCGTGTGTTAGATCATGGCCTGGATTGGGTTTCAGGTAAATTAAATGTCTTGAAGGTTGTTGGGAGTACTTTAACTTACCGCTGCGCAGTGCTGCCGCATTTTGATCGACAACCATGAGACCCACATAGGAGTAGGGCTTGGTGCTGATGCTTATGTCTATATCCTGACCAGGTGGTGCTCGGATAGGCGCTTCAATTTGCACCTAAGGGTAAAGATTAGAGATAGATAAATTTATTTTAATTTAATTTTATTTATTTATTTTTCTCAAGTAAACTCCAGTCAGGCTTACTCACCGCATTTAATAGATTCTCCTCGAATTGTATAATCTGCTCATCGTAGACGAACTCCCCATTGACTATCATATAGACGAGCAGCTTGGCGCGTGGCATCATGGCAAACGAGGCCAGAAATTTAATGGTATGATAATTATTATCAGCCACC